ACAGTCAACATTTTCTGTTTCTATTTTCTCATGTCCCACTCCTTCCTCCCCTCCTTGCCCTCCCACTTGCCAAATCAATTGGCCGTCACTCTGTCCTACCGCGGCGGACCGCCGTACTGCATGTGAGACGGTTGCTCTCTCCCTTCTTGGATTCACGTTGTGTGGCTTTGCGTCTGTTCTCCCTTCCGCCTGGAATGCCCCCTCCCTCCCCGCCTTGCCTTTGCCCGTCATCGTCTGCTTGTGTTGAACCACTTGGCTTAGAAAACAGCAGCTCTAGGAAGCCTCCCCCAAACCCTGGTGCTGGGTCAGGTGCCTGACCCTGTACCCCGACCCTCACCCACACATTCGGCAATCTTTGCACTCACGCATTTTGCTGAGATTATCTCCTAAGTATGCGTCTCCCCCATCAGACTGTGTCTGATCCACCTGTGCGCCCTCAGGGCCTAGTGCGGCACCCGCCACGTGCAAGTCCGTGGAAAAGGTGTAAGTGGTGGAAGCCGGCCCATCAGGAGTCTCCTCCTCACTCTGAAAGATAGAGTGACATCCAAGTGGCAAAAGAATGATGACTAATCATCCCCGAGAGCTGTGGTTTGAAGGATTTGTCTCTGGAGCCTCACTGTGCGGAACCATCCATGGTCCTGCACCATCCATGCCCCTCCCCTGACCACCCTCCACTCTGCCCTGCAAGTAACTGTTGAAACACAGAGTCAAAGGCAATGGAGAGCAGTCACATGACCAGTGGGAAACTCAATATATTTCTATGTTTTTATAGAAATTCATTATTTCAGCCCTGGCTGGCGTAGCTCAGTGGATTGAGCGCGGGCTGCAAACCAAAGTGTCGCAGGTTCGATTCCCAGTCAGGGCACATGCCTGGGTTGCAGGCCATGACCCCGAGCAACCGCACATTGATGTTTCTCTCTATCTATCTCCCTCCCTTCCCTCTCTAAAAATAAATAAATAAAATCTTAAAAAAATTCTTTATTTTGTGCAATGAACTCTCCAGCCTGTATTCTGGGCCGTTTCCACGGGTCCACCTTTCTAGCCTCGCCTGCAGGTTACCGCTTCCCAGGGCTCCGGTTTCCGGCACCGGCCCTGCCTCTGGTCCGCTCCCCTCCACGCTGTCACTTGCGCCATCTGGCGTGTCTTGTCCACATTGGCAACTCCTGCCGCCGCTGTGAAAGCAGCTCAGGTTGTGCTTTTTATTTAGTCTTCTGCCTCCCCTCGGCTGAAGTGAACTTCTAATGGTTATGCTTCACGTAACCCATTGGGAAAGTTACCGTACACCAGGTAAATGCTATACCATCCTGAAACGTCCTTCTCCGTGGCCTGAACTGACCTTTAAATCAATCACCTGTCATCCGGGTTTATGTGTATCTGTGTCTTTTCCTTCTCCAAGGCAAATGTAAGTTCTGTGAAAGCAAGCCCATGTTCCATGCATCTGTCCCACAGCACGGTGCTCAGTGACCAGGGGACTAGTGGTTTTCCTCTCTTTAACCCCCGAGTCTCCCAGCCTTTCCATTCCAACAGTCCCCTGGGATTCCAAGCTCAAAGAGGGCACTTCCTTCATCTCTGACCTGACCCCAGACCAGGCTGTTACCAAGCCCACCTGCTCCTCTCCCATCGGACCGACCGACGCTACCTGCAGCCCCGCGGCCCTGGGCCAGCCCTTGTGCACGAGTCCAGGGCTACACGGAGTGTACCAAACGGGAGCATCCGGACTCCTTCTCCTTTACAGTCTCCAGTCGCCCAACCACCTGCGCGACGCCATGTGGCCGCCGGTTAAGCACACACCCGAGTCTCACGTCCCTGGTGTAGTCCTGGTAGCCCTACCAGGGGAGGGGGCCACAGCCAACACATTCACCAAATGCCCATGACTCTGAGCTCATCGGAAAACCCCCAAACAACGGGAGGTGTATGCAGGACCTGCCTTGACTAAAACCCTACTGTAATTTTTGATCTAGAAGCACGTTGCATGGAACAATTCAAACACCCTTACAAGGTGTGATAACACCAGCTTGTCTGTGGTTTAATTTTCCACCCAGTATGCTGTTCTCTTTTAGGGGCCGTGGAACTTTGTGGAGCAGTTATGGCTCTCATACAGACTCAAGCGGGAGGCAGGCAGCTGGGAGTTGGTTTCAAAAGACTTGCACACGGAAGGGGCCCCTGGGTGAAGAAGTCAGGGTACGTGAGATTCGGGTAGAAGGGGTAGCTGGGGACGTGTCTTGGATGAGGAGCTGGTGACGAGACTGGCATTTGAATACGGTTACTTGAAAATCCTGTCTGATACGTGATCAACGGAAGTGAGCATTTTCTGGCCAACATTTTATATCACCTCACCATGGAATGAAATCGCAGGGGTCACTCCCCATCGCCGCCTTTGCGGGTGATCGCCTCGTCCAAGGTCAGCCCTCTGCACGGGAAACTAGTTGTGCCGAGCGCTCACCGGGTGCCAGGTGCTGGGTGTGTTGAGAGCTGGTAATGTTACCTCGTTTAAATGTCTCACCACCCCCCTGACATGATTATCTCCACTTTATACGAATGAAGAAATAGAGGGGGCTGAGGGGGGTTGAGTTTCTAGCTAAAGGTCAGAAACAAGCCCCGGCACCAGGATGTGGACCCTGGCGGCCCGACGCAACCCCATGGCGCCCTCCCTGGTGCCTGGCGCTTGTAGGTTCTTTCTAGGTTCTGAGTACTGTCTTTAGAGTTTTGTAGACCCTACTCTTAAACCTCGAGACAGTCCCATGAAACGAGAACCAGTTTTGTCCCTAATATGCAGACAAGGAAACTGAGGCCCAGGAGATCCCCTGACTTACCCAAGGCCACGTGGCTGGAGAGGGACAGGGCTCAGAGGGCAAACAGGCCTCTTCCGGTCCTGAGGCAGCACCCCGAGCACTGTGTTGTAGGACCCCTCTCACCTGCCCCCAGGGACAAAGGACGGGCCACCTCTCGGGGCCACAGGCAAACAATGGGTATAAGGCGTGGGCACAGAGCTGGCCCAAGGGTGTGCCCCACCCCAAGTCCACGCCCTCGTTTCCTCTGAAGACTGTCTGTCTCACCACCTTCTCTCTCTCCCTCTCCTCTGCCGCACGGCGTCCTGGTCCCTTTGCTGTGGCCGCACTCCTGGGGCGGGCTGGAGGGCAGCCCCCCCGGCTTCCCGCGGCCAGGTTTTGTCTGCACGCCCGTGAGAGCCCAACTGTTAGAGCATCACGTGGTTCCGGTACGTGGTTCTGTTAGAAAGGGACTCGGGAGGGCCGAGGTCCTGGTGTGTCCTTCCCCTTTTGTCTGCACGGGCTGAGCAGCCGGCCCGGCCTGGGCGAGTGCTGCCCCCCCATTCTCCCTCATAGTCTGTTCACCAAACCCCGTTTCTTGGGCCTGGCGCCTCAGACTGTGTGCTTGTCAGCCCTTCGCTTGTCCTCAGGAATCATTTCGAATGGATTCGGCAGCCTCACAAACGTGGCGAGTCTCAGTTCTGTTTGCAGACCTGGAGGGGGTGGCGAGCTGCAGGGTAGATGCGGGCCCCAGATGCCCCGGTTCTGCGCGTGGCCCGGGGAGCTTCTCGGAAAGGCAGTTGAGAGAAGGCCGAGCAGTGTCTGGCCCCAGAGCTCAAAGCCTGGCCCCCTGCTCTTGGGGCGCACGTCGCGGAATTTCCAAATGATAATTCCAGGTGATCTGCACCTGATGCAAGAAAGAAGAACCGGCTGGCATAACACTGTAGATGAACAGAAGACGGGGAACGTGGTGCTTTCAGATTACGCTGCTCAAAATGTGTGCGGTCAGGAGAAGAATTGACGGGGTCACGTGCACAGTGTCCGGTGGGGCCCTGGAGCCCGGTCCCCTGGGCCCCTGCCCCAGCTCTGTCACTAACCTCGAGCCGTGTGCCCTTGGGCAAGAAATGAACATCTCTATTTCTCCGGCACCCCCCTCTGCAAAATGGGCCAGCCGGTGGGCGGGGAGCAGGGCTGGGTGGGTAACGCTGGTTACTAAGCACCAAGCCTGCCTGCCGCGGAGTCGGTCTCCGGAAGGGTCAGCGGTCCCTGTTCCCCAGGAAGGAAGGGCGTGGCGGGTGCTCCGCGGGTGGCCGTGAAGGATTCATTGAAAGGTCCCGCAGAGAATACAAGCTTTGCTCCCTAGGTTCTTCCGTGCTGCCTGGTGGTGAACCTGTGTTTACCTGGGAACCCTCAAGAACTACTGTGAGAACAGTTTGCAATACTATTCTTTAAGTGTTTTTAGAAGAAAATGTCGTGAAAATGCTAGGATTTTTGTAATGGGTTCATTTCTGTTTAAAACGTACTATCTTGTTTTTAGAAACGATTTTTTAAAATCACGTACTGGGGTTAATGAACTAGAAAGCGAGGAGGGGAACGGGATGGAGAGGAACGTGCCCGCGGGGAACCCTGCCTCGGGGAAGCTCTTCAGAGCAACACCAGCCGGGGCCCGAACCCCAGCCGCACCCCCTGCGGGTGCGTGTCCCTGCGCAGCTGGCTGGCTCTCGCTTGTTTGTTTCTTCTTTTCGTAAAGCAGCACGAGTACAGCCTGTTGCTGGGGTCTCGGGGGGTCTTCCGAGAGCTGCTGCCTGTCTTCCCCCAGCTAGCCACACCGCAGGCCCCCATAAACGCTCCATTGTTCTGTCCTGCGATCGTGAAGTGGAGATAAAGGGACCAAGCGGCGGGGGGAAGGGGGGGGGGTTGGGGGTCCAGAGAGTGAGTTCTGTGGGTTTGAGGACAAGTTGGTCTGGACCGCCTGTTGAGCTGCGTTCAAAGCAAAACTGTGAAGAAGTGTCAGTGGCAGTCTGGGCTGCCTTCTCCGGGTCCTTTCTAACGGGGTGGGGGGGGACTTTGGAGGGGAGAATGAGATTAATTTATTCCTAGGGACGGACCAGCAAACGACAGGCTTTGCATATAACGACTCTCGAGAAAATTTGCATTTCAACGTCTGAAAAGCCTTAAATTGAAGGAACAGCATGCCTGCCGTTGAATTTCAGCAGGCCCCGTGGAGGGGAGAGTCCGTCTTTGCTTCTATCGGTGTGGGAGGCAAGCAGAGGGAAGGCTTTTTGGCTGCCTTTGAAACATGCCACGTTCATAGACACTTTGGTGCGGGGCGAAGGAAGGAGGAAGTGACAAGGTCCCTTCGGGCGCTACTCAGTCTCAGATGCTGACTTGCGTGGACAGTGGGGCACCCGGAAAGGTCCCGGCCTCCGCCCAGTCTCCGGGCCCAGATGCTGTGTCGGGGAGGACGGTGTCATCGGGCCCCAAGGACAGGCGGGAGGAGGGAAGGACAGGGTCTCGATGAGCCAGGTGACACCGGAGCTCTCACAAACCTCCTCTCACCTCGCCCTCGCCCTCACTGCAGTAAGCGGAGGATGCTCTCAGCCGCGTGCACACGGGAAATAAGGCTCCACATAGACCCGGCAGTGGCCCAATGTTAGGTAGCGGGAGATCAGCCGCACCGGGATCCCAAGTCCAGCTGACTGGCTCCATTAGAACCGAATCCGCCACAAAGGACGCAATAAGCCTGGTGCCTGCTGGGTGAGGCCCCGCCCTGGGGTCCCAGGCGGCCCGTGTTGCCGCCCTGCTGGCCCTGTGCTCTCCCCGGCCCCTGTGTCCGGGGAGCTGAGAGAGCGTGGCCAGTACTGCTGCGCCTGGGGCCGTGCTTCCTTTGTCATCCTGCGTCCGGACGGCTTGGGTTCCACTGCCTCCGCGGGCCTGTCTCCGTGGGAGGCCACGTACTTGGGTGATTGTGCTGGAAAAGGAGTAGGAGGAAGATGGTGAAGAAGAAGAAGAAGAAGGAGAAGGAGAAGGAGAAGAAGAAGAAGAAGAAGAAGAAGAAGAAGAAGAAGACCAATCAGTCCACCCCAACCCTTGGGAAAATGCACCAATGAGTAACTGTTTCCTTTGTTGGGGCTTTGGGATAAATACCTCACTGTCATTTGTCCTGGGGTGCAGATAATCTAAATCAGATGTGATTGGGACAGGTGGGAAGCGCCACTTCCCCATCGGGGTTGGGAAAGTTAGGAGGCAGAAATACCGCCTGCACTTGTTTTTCTCCCCATGGGACATGGCAGTTGCCTCCGCAGTTTGACAGCCTCCAGCCGCCCCATCCGGTATAGGCTCCTGGGGTCACACCAAGTGTATGCTAATGATGCCACTCACGGTGGGCCACCAGGAGCTTTGAGCCACGTGGTCTCCTCCCAAGCTCCTGGCCTTCAAGGAGAAGCAGGAGGCTGGAGATGAGCTCACGCACGTGGCCAGTGACTCGGTCACTCAGGCCCATGGAAGGGAACCCTGAGAAAAGCTCTGGATCCCCGGGCTCCGGCGGACGTCCTGGCTGGTGAGTACGTCGACGTGCCGGGAAGGTGACCCACCTGGTGCCTGAGGAGAGGAAACGGAAGCTCCGAGTGCGGGATCCTGCCAGTTCTGTCCCCATAGGTCTCTTCTTGTGGCTGGTCCTGATTTTTTTTTTAAGATTTTATTTATTTATTTTTAGAAAGAGGGGAAGAGAGGGAGAAAGAAAGGGAGAGAAACATCGGTATGAGAGAGACATCGATTGGCTGCCTCCTGCACGCCCCCAACTAGGGGGTACCAAACCCACAAACCAAGGCAAGTGCTCTGACCAAAAATCGAGCTAGTGACTCTTCATTGTTCGGGACAACACCCAACCCACTGAGCCACCCCAGTCAGGGCCTGGTTTGCATTCCTTGTAAGAAAACCGTAAGTTCGTGTTTTCTTGAGTCCTGTGAGCCATTCTAGTGAATTATAGACTTTGAGGGCATCATGGGAACCTCCAGAGGTGCAGACATTGTGGAACAGCATGGGTGGCCGGGGACCCCAGAACACGTGGCTGGTGCAGCCTGTGGAGGCGCATGCCCTTTGCTGGTGCGGTCTGTGCCCACGTGGAGTGGTGGGTGTCAGATGGGAGCATCGCATGTCTTTGAATGAACAGACGGATCTCCTGCAGTCCCATGAGGGAGGTGACAGCAAACTGCAGTCCCTCTCCTTGCCTCCTTTGGGGACGAGAGGATGCCGTGACTCAGCGCCCCGTCAGCTCTCTCTCCGGGTGAAGTGACGGCCACAGTTCCAGTCCCAGGGCCCGCCCTCACAGAAAGCCCGAGAGCGTGTTTACAGGCTGCCGCCACGCTGACACATTTGGAGTCGGATCAGCTACGTCGGCTGATACGACATGCTAGTGCTAAGGAGGGAAAGGACTGATGAGGAATCCAGCTCCTGTGTCGTTTTTAAAATAGAGCTAATTTCACAGAGTTCAGACGCAGCCTGATCATTTCGCTAGGAAACGGGAATTGGCTTGATCCTCTGCAATGCGATCAGCTGCCTGGCGCTCGACGTGCCAACAGTTTGAGCCTCTCCGCGTCTTCTCTGTGATTTCAACTGGAGCGCTGGGATAAAAGGATAGTCCACCCATCTGCTGCCTTGGATTTTTTCAGGCTTGATTTTAAGAGAGAATTTTTTCTTTACGTGTTCACTTGTTTTCCTTCCCAGACTAAAGGAATCCAACTATTATTTCACAAACCTTTTATTTCTTTTCTTCCACCTGGCATCCCCTCATCTTCTCCAGTACCTTTTCCTTTCCCCCTTTTTTCATGAAAAAATCTGGAAAGAAAACTAAATACAGTTATGAATTTTAGCCAACCAGCCTTTGGATAAGTGGGCTGTGAGCAGAGCATGGCCTGGGTGCAGAAAGATGTGTGGACAAGAGTTGCTTTGCTCGAACTTGCCAGATAAATAATTCGGACACTCCACCCTTTTATGAACAGTGAGACAAAAAGACATGTTTTCACTTCATGGTTAAGATAGGATGCTGGGTTGGGGGCGGGGAGGAATGGTGCCTCTGGTCATTTCCAGGTCAGATTTCTGTGCATTGTTTTAAAAATCAGTGAGATAACACACTTACTTATGTAGCCAAAAAATTTTTGTGTGGTCACGCTAAACAGGCAGGCCGGGTCCTTGTCTTCATAGAGCTTACAGTCGACAGGAAGTCAGGGTCTCATCATGTCGCCAAGTACAGAGACACATGTAGAAGTGTACATGGGCGCTTTGAAGGAACAGCACCCAGTAGCACGAGAACAATACTGAAGACACAGCACGGAGGTGGGCGGGCGGCCAGGAAAGGCTCCCACGGAAAGATGTTTGCGCTGAGATCTGAGGGTGACTGACGATGGGGAGGGAGGACTCGGGCGGAGGGAGTGGAGTGTGTGAAGTTTCCGGGCTGGAAAGGAACACGGCTCGGCCAGGAACACAAAGGAAACGGTGTGTGTGGGATGGCGTGTACACAGTGGGAACAGACCCGCCCAGCGGGTAGCGAAATGCCCCCTTTCCACGCCGAAACCTTTGGGGAAATCCAGCCAAAGGAAACACGGCACCCCACAGGACGTGAACATGTTCACGCAGGCTGGCATTCGGGAAACAACAAAGAAAAAGAAAGGGCTACAAAACACAAAGAGGAGCTCTGATAAAAGAAGGGAAGAGTTTCTGAAAAGGCTGGCCGCGGAGGTCCACGGCACTGAGTCTGCTGCGACGTCGACCGGGCTGAGACCCGAACACCCTGGACCCACAGACAGGGCCCCGATGGTCATCTCGCTGGACCCGTTTCAAGGGCCTGGGCGGGGTAAAGGCCGAGGGGGCTGCAGAGATGGCAGCAGCTGTTCCGCAGAGGAGAGACGTGGGGTGCTCACTGCGGGGGGGGGGGCGGGAAGCAAGGCCGGGGGCTGTGTTTTCAGATTCTTGTAAAGTGCTCAGCGGTTTGGGGCCCATTCAAATATTCAATTAAATAACTTCTTCATTTTTTAATTTTCTTTTCCTTTCCTTTCCTTTCCTTTTCTTTTCCTTCCTTCCTCTCCTCCCCTCCCCTCCCTTCCCTTCTTTTAGAGAGAGTAAAATCTCCTGACGTGTAGCAACAGAAAAAAATCTCTGTCCAAAGGCATCTTGGTTTCCTTGCTGCCGGTGGCAGCAGCAGCAGCAGCCCTAGCCTTTGACTGCTCTGCTAGGTTGCACAGTCAGCAACACTGGGTTTAGTTTCTAACCCTTGGTGCCCCTGCACGCTGCTGCACAGCAGCTTGGGCGCGAACACGGAACTCAGGGAGGACTTACTGAGCTCCTGCGATGCGCTGGCGTGGGACAGGTGCCGCAGGCCTGACAAGGAATGACACACAGTGTTTGCATTTAAGGAGCTCACACCAGGCCAGGGAACAGACCTGGAAACAGATATTGACAAAATAGTGCTGTAAGTGTGTGATAAAAATATAACCAGAAGACAGTGTTAGTAGGGGTTGGGAACAGAAGCCTGACCGTCTCCCGAAGGGCCAGGAAGCACCCGGGATGTAGGAGTTGGTGTGAAGAGTGCGGTGGTTCTTGTTTTCAGGTTATCTCAACTTTGTTCCATTTCCTTTCCCTGACATTCTCGAATCGGGTCCTTCCTTGAAGCCAACAACATGAATTTGTAACAGATTTAACCACTGAACACAAAGAAGCTGATTGGTCAACATAAATAATCCATTTCCATACTTTTATAAGCACCCTACTTGCAATACTTAAAAACATCTAATATACCGAAATAGTAAAATGCAAAACTTGAAACACGTGACTTCCTCTAAGGTGTCGCATTTTAAAGTGTAAAACACATTTGTAAATACTTAACACAACAAATATCTAAGTGGAAGCGTACTTTCCTCCTTTGGTTTTAAATTCCTTGCACTGAGTTTAGGTGGGTGGATGGCGGGCTTAGGCAGAGAGGTGACAGGAGGTGGGACAGGAACGGATAAGGCGAGGACAGATTACTGTGGTTAGCTAGGTCAACAAACTCAATGTCAAACCATGTACTCAAGGAAGACTCGGGCCTTAGGTGAAAACTTCTTTACGAATCTCGGCAATCTTTCCTCACATAATAAAAGTCAAATATGCAGCAACTGTAATGACTGAGTTACCTGGCTGAGAAGTAAAACTTAACTATGTCAAAGAATAAAAATAAAAAAGTTAGAAAATGACTTCCAGAGTTGACTTCCTGAGACCGTGCGCACCAAACTGTGTCCCCCCAATCACACCTGGCTGTAGGACAGACGCCGAGAGTCCCCAGAGATCCCCTCGCCCGTGAGCGCGAGGGGAATCATCCCAGACTGGGGAGCCGGCTAAGCATGGGGCTGTCTGGACCCAGTTAGGGGACCTGCCTGTGTCTGTTGCTGCCCGTGTCTTTTCTAGCGTTCCCAGGCACCTGGAAGCTTCTCCCTGGGGTGTCCTCAGACGGTTCAGTGATAGTGCCACCAGCCTCCTCCTCGCTCACCCCCAGGGAGCAGGTGAGTCCTGGCTCTGCACCATGAAGCATCTGTCAACACCCTAAGCTAACAGGTTCAGAGCTTGCAAGGATCCCCTGCTTCTTCTGCCCTCAGACGTGCTGATGTTTATGCGGTATGTCAAATGCCATCCTGACACGGCGATGTTCTTAAGTCCCCTTAGTGAGTGCCATGGCTTCCGGCTATCAGAACCACCTAGAAATCTTCTGAAAACCCAGACTCCTGGCCCCCACTCCCAGAATCAGCGATTCAGGAGAACAGAAGGATTTGCTTCCCTAGCAGGTTCCCAGCCATGCTGATGCTGCTGGCCCCCGGACCCCACTTGGAGAATCTCCATCCTGGGGGATCCTTGACCCTACTGAAAGGCCGTGCACAGTCTGTGCAGGTGCCTGTGTGGTTTTGTCCTAGCATGAGTGTCCTCATTTTCATCAGAATTCTCCACGTGAGTTAAACCACAAACAAACAAAAGCCGGTCACTTGGAGAACATTTACCAGGGCCCGAGGCCCGAGGGAGTGCTGGTCTCCAAGACCAGAGAACTCACTGTGGCACAGGAGGTGGAAACTCGCTGGGTGGGACAAAGTCACTCCCACGGGAGGTGCTCGGGGTCACGGGTCAGAGCTGGGTGGTGGTCGATGGGCACAAACAAAATGATTTGAATAGGAATGAATATTCTCACCCAATAGGAATTTATTTTTCATTATAGGTCATCGTGCTGGATTGCAACAAGATGATTGGGAGCATGACGCTCATTCAGGAGTAATAAAGCATGAGTCGCTGATGCAATCTTTAGAAATGTCACATCCATCAATCAGCACTGGAACAATAGACAAAAGGCTGGCACCTGGCAGTAGTAGTTTATGGTTTCGTAGTTAAAACCGGCCTGTAACTTACTCTTTAGGAGCCCCCACAGGGCAGTGAGAGGCTCCACGCAGGGCCAAATGCAGGTCTACGTCCTTCCAGGCTCCCCTCCCCACCCCCGCTCCCAGAATCCCTCGCTTCTTAGAGGCCGTGGAGCACAGTCGGTACAAGCACAGGCTTGTGTCCACTCAGACCTTGGTCCAAGCCCCAGCTTTGACCTTTGCTAGTTATAGACCTTGAGCAAGTTTCTTGCACCTCCTCGAGCCTCGGCTGCCTCATCTGTAAAATGGGAATGGGGCATTAAGCACCCGACGCTTTTCTGATGATTAAGCGATGCGGTCCATCAAGTCTCCGACACGGTGAGAATTTGACAGGTGGTCAGGTAGACCACGTCTCGCCCTGATGTTGCTGGTAGAGTCACATTTGGCTATTAGGCTTAGAAACGAGCACCTCGCCTTCCTAGGAGCCCCTCCAGACTGGGGTTTGTTTTCTAGGACATGGTCGTCTCCCTAGTTTTCCTACGACTAACCTGTCACGAGGGTTGTGGCTTGGTCTGAGAACGGTTCTCGAGTGTGCCGACCCAGTAATAAGATGCTTCAGTCCGGGCGGGAAGACAGCGCTGGGCTCACTGACTAAACGTCTGCCCCCTGTGTATTCTCCCCGCTGAAGCCAGGAGACCACAGACCGGAGAAGACAAGGAGGGGGTGGGGAAGTGGAGGGAGGAGCTAGACGACCAAAGTCTCCCCCACAGGGACTGCTAATTTCATAGCAGAAAAGGTGATGACTCGCTCAAGGCGCAAACTATTTCATGAGGAAGGAGGGAGAAAGCGGTATTGAGGACCATCTCTATGTATGGCTTCTATCACAATGCCTTTTTATCGAAAAAAAGAAACAGAACAATATTACCCAAATTTGCAGAGCCAGCGATTGGTAGAGTTGGGATTCAAATGTTCAGACCTGTCTTACTCTACGTGTCACATGCCTTTAGTTCAACCATGCTGTCTTTACCAGAACAGTTGACTTCTATTTCCTAACTTTGCTGTTTTAAGTAGAAGAAAAGGTAGATGGTGGGTCTATGGGGAAGAAAAACCATAATGTACCTACCGTAGTTGCAAGGAAGTCGAGAAAAAAGCACATCTCTGCACACAACCAGAACAAAAATTCGTGCTCAAACACACAACATCGCTTGACAAAAATACAAGCTCAGTCTCAGGCCGCGAGACCTTATTTTCCTCGTAGGATCGCAGAGAGCCCGTCCAAGGGCAGAGGCAATGACACCGTGGGCCTGCTGAGGGCAGCAGAGAGTTGGAACGTGATGACCTTTTCTGGGCGGACATGGAAGCCAACCAATAAAAGTTGCCTGGTGAGATCGCATTGACTTTGGAGAGTTGGGCTCTGTATGAAAGGTAGACAGAGGTTAGGGTGGATCCGGCGACAGGTCTTGGCACTTTTGTCCAGCCACACATTTGCACGTGGGTCAAGGTGGCGAAAGGGTCTCAGCCGGAGAACAAACGGCCGTAGCTGTGAGTGAGGGGAACCAGAAGAGCTGACGGAGGTGGAGCCTCAGGGGTGCCCCCTGTCGGGGTGAACATACTCGGCCCTGCTGGCTCCCAGCCGGGCAGACGGGCTTGGCTTCCGGGCAAGAACACGGACCTGGGTGGACCATCTTCCTTAGTTACTTGCCTGGCTCCAGAAAGCTCATGAGTGTTGGGCTCTCGGTTTTAAGTGGGAGATAACTTTTGAACCCGACAACACCCACTGTAGATGTCATAGACATACGGGGAATTCAGAGCCTACACAATGGAATGGACCAATGGAGACAATGTGACACATAAAGAAGAAATACAGTGTCCGTGTTCTCATGTAGACCTTTAATTTAAGGAGCACCCATCACGGGTCAGATCCCGTGCTCAAGCTAATGAATGCAAAGATACCTACGGCATGGTCTCCCAAAGCCGGTGCGGTGGTGTCGCTGGGGAGATGGGGCCGGTATAGAAGACGGCTTGTAAGGCTGCGTTGGCATCCGTTCAAGGCCAAGGAAGAGTGTAAACAGCGAGGGGTAGAGGTGTTTTGAAGTTCACGGCGGCCTGAGATGGTTTCAGTTGGCTTCACGGAGATGGTAGAACATTAACTGGGTCTTGGATGGAGGTTGCTCAGCTCAGGCAGTGGAACAGCAGGAAGGACGACCTTCCAAGAACGGCAAGTTGCGTGAACTAGAGAGAGCCGGCGCAGAGCTACAGGGCAAGCGGGGCAGGGGGTGAAGAGCAGGTCAGTCTGACCGAGGTGGGGAATGCAGGTGCGGAAAACACTCCGAGGAATTTAAAGAACAATCTCACATTCTGATTTATTTTTTATTTTTTTAAAACTATTTTTTTAGTTTTTTTTTAATTTATTTTTAGAGAGAGAAGGGAGGGAGATAGAGAGAGAGAGAGAGAAACATCAATGTGTGGTTGCTGGGGGTCATGGCCTGCAACCCAGGAATGTACCCTGGCTGGGAATCGAACCTGCAACACTTCGGTTCGCAGCCCGAGCTCAATCCACTGAGCTACGCCAGCCAGGGCCCTCACATTTGGATTTATGAGGCCATAGACGTGTGACATCGTGGCCCCTCTCTTTAACTTGGTAAAATGCAATTGTCCTCGGGCCCACCCATTCATTCTGTTACCCCCCTTGAAGCCAACAAAGTAAGTCCTGTTCACAATTCTGTCACTGTGTCCCTAACCTTAGCATTTGCCACTGGGTAGACTAAACAAACCAATACAGTTTGTCCTGTATACTTTGAGGGTGTTATTCCTAATGAATAGTTAGCTATCGAAAATCTCACTAGGGCCTTAAGGGCTGCATTTTGAGATCTGCAATTACAAAACTACATTTTTCCTTTTGAAATGTAAAACAGGTTAGAAGAGCATAGCTTAGAAAAGCGAAACATCGTTGAGCAAATTCACCCAACCCAGCTTAACTGAGACGTTTCTTCTCCCCTCCCCATGGCAGGGCAGACTTCTTCCTTAAAAATTTAATTCAATTTTTTAATTGTTACCCACTGATAATGAGCCAAGTAAATCACAAAGCTTCTCCAAGCAGCTGTGTGGCACGGGCATGTGCATTTTTATTTTCCTTAAGGAGGTATGACGACTGGATGGTTTTGGGAGACAAATGATTGCAACTGTGAACAGCAGATGTAACCCACTGTTCTTAGTGAATCGATCCTGTCATCTGTGATTCTTATTATAAAAGCTCCGCTGCAGGAGAAATGCTTGTCCTTGTGGCCGCGCACCCGACGAAGGCATGAACGAAAGAGTTCGCGCGGGCGGGCGGGCTGTTGGTGACCCACTCAGGGTGGCTCTCAGCACCTAGGCAACGGAGTGCCTGCATCAGACAGAACGCTGATTTTAAATGTCTACGTCTTCAAGATGAGGCTTGGAAACCTGCATTTTAACAAGTTCCTGGGTGATTCTCACAGCTCTAAATGCTGTACCACCTGCTGTGGAGGAGGGAAGGAGCGGACTTGGGAAGACAGGGAAGCTAAGCTGAGAAGAGTCTGTAGTCGACACTGATCGCAGGGCTGGGAGAGGCCGGGAGAGAGAGCCTCAGTTGCCCTCCAGAGGCTCTGCAAGCAGGAGGGACCGGAACGTAAGCAGTGATGAGGTGATTTGTGCACAACAAGGGGGTCATAAGAGATAAAGAACAGGGTTAGGTCTGGGATGGTCAGACTTGCCTCCCAGGAACCCAACAAACAGACTCACCACCGAGGCACAGAGGACGACGGCTCCCAGGACACCATGGCTGCCCTCCGTCTGCTGCGGCTCTTTGCGTCCTCCCGGCCACACGCCAGCCCAAGCTGCTGGGGTGCCCGAACCTCCTGGAAGCAAGGCAGAACCCCTCGAGGGCAGGCAATAGCAACCGAGGGCCGGATCCTTCGGGAAGAATCCCTGGCTTTAATAAGTTGTTTCTGGACTTCTATCTCTAGGTGGCAAGGATCACAGCACACTAGGTTTTTAAGATCAGGGCTGCTGTAACCAAAAGGGCACCTGAGAAGATGGATCCGAGGAACCTGTGCTAACTGGATTGCAGAGGGGAGGAACCACAGGCGGGGCATCCAGTTAGGAGACCACTGCTAGTGTTTACCTACTATCGTCTGCCCGTTCTTGTGACAGCGCTCCCATTTCCTGCCAGCCCGGGTTACTTCCAGCTCCCTAAAGGCGTGGTGACCATGTCTTATCAATCCCCGTGTTTGCTACCCCGTACGGCCCCAAACAGAATCAAGCAACCTCAGTCTATCATCTCCTAGTAATAAAAATACATTTTATTTTTCATTCAAGGCCCATCATATCTACCAGCCTTCTTAATATTTTTATTCAACAAAAGAAATATTTATTGGACACATATTCTGTGCTAAACACTCGACTACACCCCGGGAATAGAACGATGAGCAAAAGAGACGTGGTGCCCGCCGCGCTGGGGAACATGGTCCACGGGGAGAAAGACCCAAAAGGCAGCGTGTGCAGGGTGTTTCAGACAGAGGAGTAATACCAGCAAAAGAGCAGAGGCCACGAGAATTGTGTCCCCCACGCAGGTAGAGGAAGGGTCACGCAAGCTGGAGCCGTGGGGGTGGATGAAGAGCACGACCTGAATGCCCCCCAAAGGAGTTTGATGTTTAACCAACTGGTGGTGGGGAGCCATTAAAGCTTTCCAGCTGGGGAGCTGACTGACCTGACAGGGATTTTAGAAAACTGAAGAGGCCCAAAGGGCCATGTAGAAGATAAAATCTACCACGGTTGTCACTGGCTGAAAGAGGAAGAGATTAAAGCTAGGGGGTGGGGTCGAAAGCTTCTCCGTCCTGAGGACCGCCGGGATAAGAGAATGTCATTATTAACTATGCCACAGGAGGAGGAGTCTGTGGGAAGCAGGCGGACATTCAGCTCAAACTCACCCCTAACAGGACAGCTCAGCATCCCATTGAACTCGCTGACTGGCCCTCAGCCCGCAGCTGCTCTGAGCTCCCCGGGGGACCACCATGAGTTAACCTCATTAGGGGCAAACTCATTACCTCCTGCTCCAACCTATATTTGCTGGATGGCTGCTTGGTTAAAGTCATTTCAGGGAGGAGTGGATGAAATACTGAATTAAGATGTATCTCCTACCTTTATCAAGCACACAAGATAAGAGTCATCCATCTGTCCCTGAAGCAGGTCACCTGCTTGTTACTATAGACAGTCAGGGAGCATCGGGGAGTCTCCCCCACTGGCCACGGCGGCACCAGCAGAGGTTCTCACACTGAGTGCACCAAGAGCTAGAAAGGTGGATGGGCAGGGCCTGAGAATGCCAAAAGCTAGCAGCAAGTAAAGGGATAGAAAACAACAACAACAACAACACACTCTTCCCTCCCTATTTCTGTAGGAACCAAGGGCTTGAGCAGGAAAGGGGGATGATCTTGGAGACAGGAGTTCACCGTCCTCTCAGGTCCTGACACCTGAATAAACCTCTTTCCTTTGCACCGGCTCCTCTCTCTCGAGTTTAGCTTTCTTTGCAGTAGGCAACCAAACCTGCATTTTCCGTCACAGTCTTTGGCAACTCGGCGAGGACGGTGGACCTCAGCGAGTCTCCGAGGGCCCAGACTGGCGTGGCTGCTGCCTGTGGCAGGCTGACCCCGGGAGTGGGGCTGTGGGGCCATCCCAGCAGCTGCCAGGAGCTTTTCTTGGGGTGGGGGGAAGAGCTTTTCCTGCTCTTCTTCCCCAGGCATCAGCCACCTGAGGCACCTGACTGGTGAGGGAAATGCGTTTCTGGACAGCAGACAGACTCCAAGCCCAGGTAAGTCAAACCGGCGTGCACACTGGGCGTCTTCTATCCCCGCCACTTGGGCTTTCTGCCACCCGGGTCTGGTCAGGACCATTTGCGGTACCAGGTGGTAGGCCATCTGTCTAGGCTACCTGTGCTGCTTGGGCTTCACGTCACTTCAGCTTCGTGCCATTTGGGCTTTGCGCCATGTGGGTCCAGTCGGGACCACTCGTGGTATCCACTGGTAGGAGGTAAGACACCAGGACTGGCTTGTGAGCACTCGTGTGAATGACGGATCCAAATTCTGCTCATATGTTCCCACTTTGTCTGGAGTCCCACTTTTTCGGGGCTTGTGCTTTGGCGCCATCGGGGGTTGTTCCGTTTCAA